TATTCACGTCTTTAAAGGCCAAGCCAATGAAGCCTTCGACTTATGTTCTTTCCCACATACCCCACGACACCTTCAGCTCCCCTTCCACACGCACAAACTCCCGTCGGTCTCCCTCAAGCCATACCCAACCTCTCTCCACCCCTACCCTATTCGCAAGTCGTCGGTCCAGAGAAAGAGAGAGAGAGAGAGAGAGAGAGAGAGAGAGAGAGAGAGAGAGAGAGATTTCTCTAACCTAGCCAAGATCCATCTCTGCCCTTGTCGATCAAGGCCAGATCTCAGCAAACCCTAGCCGCCTCGTCCAATCTCCTCCCAGACCCTCTCCATCCCGCCTCCAGTACTCCACGAGCTCAAGAACCCGAGCCCCTTTGCCTCATTCGCCTTTACTTCCCACCTTCCTCGACGACATTCCCCTCTTGTCGGTTCAGAAGTTACGACATTTTGATCGGATGCTCAAACACCAATCCATCGACCCATCTCCAATCTTAGTAGCCAACCACAACCCATGAACGCCTGCTCTCCTCTCTGCCGTAAGACCCAACCCTTACCTATATCCAACTTCACCTTGCTTCAGGCCGAACCCAAGCTCCAGCTCCCTCCTTGCCTGACCTCAACTCAGAAAGAATAAGTCAATTTTATCTATTTATCTATTATATTCCTAATATTTCCTATTAGTACTGAATAATCAATTATTACTATGATAACTACTAATTGTTATACTAATAATAGCATTAATTGCTATTTATACTATTAATATTAATAATTGTATTATTCCTATATATATATATATATATATATAGAGAGAGAGAGAGAGGAGAGGGGGAAGAGAGCATCCAAAAAAAGAGAAGTGCAAAAAAAGGAAAGAAAACAATTGTAAAAAAAGGAAAAATAAAGTGATTCAAAAGAAAAAAAGAGGAAAAGTATAACCTAAAAAGAAAATGAGAGTAAAAAAAAAGAAGAAGAAGAAGAAAAACAGTGGACGATAGCAGTATCTACCCTCTATATACAATGGATGACAGCAGTGTCGTCATCCTCAAAGAATTCACCTTCATCGTCAAACTGGTGAATTTGGTCAACCTCGGGCTCAAACTCATCCTCAGTGACTTCTTTAATAATTGTGACCTTGTAAGGATTAGAACACTAGAAAGAGATGTGCCCATACCCCTGACATCGAAAGCACTTTGTCCCTGGGTAGGACCGAGGTGTATCAACGGTTGGAGGCTTGCCCCTGAAGTCAGGACGGGGTGGAGAACCTGAGGGTGGTCGGCTAGTGTTTCCGGGGGTTGGCCATGTGGCAGGGTGGTGTGGGGCCGATCCACTGGAAGGCCTGTAGGGAGGTCTAGCATCCTGGTGTCAACCAAGGTGTTGGGAACATGTCTCCTCAAGGTCTAAGACTAGATTGTAAGCACTCTCTAGTTTAGTAACGCTCCGAGCAAACAACTCATTATGGAGATCCTCACGCAACCCAGTATGAAACATGGACAAAATCTACGAGGGGGTAGTCAAGGTCTCCCCCTTGTAGTTAATCACGTAATCGTCAAAAGCTACAATATAGTCCTTTACGGGTTTACTATACTAGGTCAGCCTATTCCACCTATCAAGGAGCCTAAGAAAGTACGAGGGAGGAATGTACTTTTGTTTGAGTTTGCACTTCATAAGTCCAATCAGGGATAGCAAACTCATTGCAGGACTCCCAAAGACTCTTGGTTGGCCCAATATTGGCTGACCCTACTGGTGAGTTTCATCTCAGCAAATCTATCTTTTTTAGCCTCAGATATATTATATCATTTAAATAAACTATCAATGCCCTTGATCCAATCCAGAAAGAGCTGGGGATCAAGAGTACCATCAAAAGTTGGGCATCGACCATAATGTTTTTCAACAGAGGAATATCGAGGTCGTTATTAAGGTCGTAGTCGTACTGGGGAGTTCGATAAGGGGCACGGCGGTGTCCCTCAACTGGTACGAAGTTATCTCCATACATGGAAGGAGGCCTAGAAGGTGTGTAAGGTGTTTGGTGATTCCTGATTCGATCTAGTGTAGCAAATTGTTCTGTCGTCTGGCGACGGAGTTCAACTATGTTAGGTTGATTCTCCCTACGTTGTTGACTCATCGTGCTCATTTGACCTACCAATAGGTCTAAGGTCCTATGAATTTGTTCAAGGTCCATCCTATGTCTAAAGGATGACTCAGGACTATACAAACAGGGAGAAAATAATATGATAAAACAAGCAAGTAAATTGATGTGTGTAGGATGTGATTTAGATACTAAGACATGAAATAAAAAAATCCTAATAGGCACCTAAATGCAACAATGCTCTGATATCAAAATGATGTAAAACTATATATATAGGCAAATGTTGTTGATCTGAAAATTACACATACATAAGCAGAGCATTGAAATTTATCAACTTCTCTCATTCTTAGCAAAGATTTAAGCCAACAAGATAGTTATTAAGATCAAGTAATCAATTACATAATAATATTATGATCACAAAATAATCAAATCAAATCATACCATGCTAATTTGAGGCTTTCAAAGAGAATCACTAAATTAACAATTAGAATAGTCACTATAAAAGATCCACTCACACATACTCTTAATATGGTTAAGTGGATAAGTCTTCATAATTAAACGATTCCATGATTGAGAAAGAGTTGAAGATATAGGGTTAGGGAGAGAGTTTACTGTTCTCGTGTTCTTGGTGCTGGTTCCATCGTTTCCCAAACCGGCCATCGAGTTGTTGGGATTAATCCTTGAACCAAGCAAGTCTTGTAAAAGAAAATAAGCTAAGGCTTCGGGATGGAGGTAAGGGGTGGAGTGTAGCTGGCCAGGAGATGAGGGTTCACGTCTTCCTTCCTCAAGAGAAAGATCAAATTAGGACAAATATTTTACGAGGGAGTGGGGTTGTGGCCGTCCATCAAAGGGAGGGAGGAAGCATGAGTTTTAATTTCATATTTAGAGGATATATTATAGTAGAGACAACAATCAGGTAATCTGGAATAATTCCAGCAATTAGTAAAATCTAAAATTAATTTGGGAGCAATTAATTGAGAAGAATTAATTGGAAGGAGCTCTTAAGGAAAGAATGAAAGAGGCAAGAAGGGGGGACTAGCAATGATTGGGGAGTGGGGTTGGTGATTTAATAGAGTTCCCAATCATAGCTTCCTAATTAAGGAAAAATGATTTATATGGCATGAATGAGAAAACTTTTCTAACATGACTTATTCTTTTAAATAGAAAGAGATTTCAAATTTGAATTGAATTGGAATTTGAATTTCTAACTTTCCAAAATTATGATACACTAAATTTGGAAAGTTTAAGAGATGTGATTTGAAAATTTGGGATCCAAAGGAGAGGGAAGGTGGTCATCGGCTAGGAGGGGAAAGGGTTTTGGGCCGGCGGCTATGAGAAGGGGAGGGGTGGTTTGGGCCGACGGCTAGGTGGTGGTGGTGGGGGTGGGAATGTTGGTCGATGGTTATGTGGGGGAAAGGGATCGGCCGAAAAAGATGAGAGGAGGGGAAACGAACCTAGTGAAAGAGATAAGCCGTGAGCCCGGACACATCCTATGACTGATGGGTATTGCTTCGCCCTCGCCTAAGAACTTCACCAAAGTTCTCACAAGAACTCTCAAAACTCACAAAGACATGAAGTGTATGATTTTTTTTTTCTCATAACCATCCTCCTCAAAGAGAGAGAGGGGTCTATAAATAGACAAAATACAAAAACATGTCCAATGACAAAAGTGCTCCCCAGTGTTACATAAGCATACTCCCTTAAGTGAGTGTAAAAACGAAAAAGATACATAATAAAATCAAATACAAATAGATGCTCAAAAATAAAGTGGACTAATCGTAGCCGTCGATCTGCTGCTCCTTCTCTAATAGACTTTCTATGGTCATAAGTCCTCATCAGGCGGTCACTATATTAGGCAAATTAATAGTTTTAATAGTCCTGATTGAAAAATTGAAGTTAAAGCTCCTATATTTGATGACCCAAATAAATTCTTAGATTGGCTTTCACAAATAGAATATTTTTTTATCATTGAAGTTTTGATGACTAACAAATAAGGGTTTTTTATAAAAAAAATAAAAGGCTTTATGGCTAATTAGTTGCCCTTATGCAATGAACTTCTGGATTTTTTAATCTCTGAACTCATTTGAGGATTTAGTAGCTAGAACCCATTGTAATGACAATGATTAGCACCTTGTCAATAAATTTTATATTAGCTTGAGACATCATATTCAAAATGAGGTAGAGCTTTTAGATCTATAATCCTTAGAAGAGGCTTTTTTTTTTTTTTCCTTTTTGACAACGAACAGAAAGAGATAAGAGTTAATTCCTAGACCTGAGGTTCAACCCTATGTTTAGCCCGCACATAGGTCTACTCTTATTAGACCTACACCATCCCATTTTGGCTATCCTACTAGACCCAACATCAAGGCTACCAGTAAAAATGGTAAGAAAATAATTTACAATGAGCGTCATATGAAAGGCAATATACAACATCAATGCAAAGCCCACATTATACTCTTAGAAGGAAATTTTAATTAGAAAAATGATGATTTATAGGAATTTCATTCTAAAACTAACCCTCTGAGAATGACTTAGAAGCTTTTCAATCATACACCCTCCATTAATATTGTTAGATAATTATATTTTTGTACGCACTAAAATTTCATATCAAGAACTCTATCTTAATCCTAACCCAAAATGAATGAAAGCAGATATTTGGCTTTAGTTAACTAAGATTAACAATAAAATATATCCTTGTTTGTTTGGGTGAAGTAAGAGATCGCAAAGTTGCCACTAAATCTCCATAATGTTTTCTTGTGATGTGAGAGAAAAAAAAATGACTTAGTGGAGAAAAGATATTATTAATTTGATCAATTGATTTCGAGTGGAAATAGGGAGGGCTTGCAGAAATGGGGCTACCAATCAAACATGTCCTAATATAATAAATTTTTTGTTCTCTAAAAAATAAAAAGTTAAAAGTGTATACCCATCATGCTTATACTTTGTTCTATGCCTGCCATAACCAGCACACTGTTCATCAGCACCAGATCCAACGAGTAGAACACGAGCTTCTGATTTGTACTTGTAATAATGCTGATTTTCCTGAAGAAAATTACATATTTGTCCATCCACGCAGCCATCTCCACCAGCAGCCAACCATAATGCCATACCAATGTTTAAATCCTGTGATAGCCATAGCATTCGGTAAGACTTGTGTTTAACCACTATCAATACAACTCATAAAGTGATCCTATCACATACACTATTCTTTCTTTTATTTATTTATTTATTTGTAAGATAGGAATCAAAGCCAAATCAATTTTGTATTTTCAAATTACATGCAAGTGTAGTTTGTGTTAGATGCTTAGGAAAACAACAATTTGCCAGTACATGTATCCATGAAAAAAAGGAGGATTTACATACATACCACTTTATTTCATGCTATTTAAATCTAGCACCTTAAAAAAATTATATAGAATGACTATCACACCCCCCCCCCCCAAGAATTAAATGTAGGTATGTAAATCCCTCCCCCCCCCCAAAAAAAAAAACAAAACAAGGTTACACATACCATATAGGTATCTGCTGGATGTATTAACGACATTACATGTTTGGTGGTTTCCGCGGTCAAATTTAAGAGAGTTGCATCAATCTCCACAAGTCGCCACCTGAAATCTAAAGAAGCTAATACTGCACAGACATTTTTTTGTTGGCTACATCATAACTATTTTAAATAAGTACAACACCTTTGAGGCATCACCAAAATAATTCACGTAAAGTACCTTCTCATTGGAGCAACCTTCTGAAGTTCCCTCAGCCCTAGTCTTGCTGAAACTCTATCAGGTGCAAACTGGCCATCAAAGCTTACATTTAGCAAATCTATTATATCTGCCAAAAAAAAATAAAAGAGCGATCACTCAAACTTAAACACCAGGAATAGCTAAAAAATAAACAAAATTATGTATTTCATGCTATATCTTGAAGATGAGATGGTCCAAAGGGCAAGGAAAGAACAAGACAGATACGTGGAGCACGAGCAGGCAAAATAGCAATTGAAGCGCATAAAATTTCCAACATACAGCCAAAATCATGAATTTCCATTTCGCTTTTACTTTGAGATAAAAAATGGCCCAAACTGCAAGGAGACTACAGACGGAAGGAAAGAGATATGAGAAGCGTGACTTGAAAAGGAATCTACAATGGACAAAAAAATATGCTAAAAAAACATCAGGCGTCCTAGCTCGAAGTCACTGATGATGCAATCCTAGCTCCTTGTCATGCTTGGGATCAGGATTGATCTGGAATCTGGATGGATCTAGGGTCAGGATTGGCCCGAGTGACCTCATACAAAAATGAGGTCAACAGGTGTATGATTCTAGAGTCTTCTATTATGCCTATATATTCAAGATATTGTAAGGAATGAGGGGATGGAATGAATATTATCTCCTTTTAAAGTTTTGAAGCTTTGTTCTTCTTCTTCCCTGGATTGGGAAAGTGAAATCCTTCTTGCAGGTCGATTCTTCCGACGATCCACTACATCAGTTTGTCAATAAAGTTCAAAGATTCTAAAATTTTTCGAATATCTTAAGTTTCGAGATTCTAAAAATAGTTACCGTTACACTAAGTATGATAAATTTGGGAGTTGCATAGTACAAAGAGGATAAAAGTAGCAAGTAGAAAAGGCCAATAAGCAAGTGATTCAAATTTTAAGAAAAAAAATTAACTTCATTTATGCTGCCGTGTAAGATGTCAGGAAAAACCACCTTCACTATGTAGTAGCGTCTTTAACAGATAGAAAATAAAGAATATAAACTACAACTCTCTAAGATCATTTGGCTCCACCTTATTCTAACCTCTATTTTTATTGGTTGATCAAACTAACTACGATAAACAACGTTATCCTAGACAGGATATGCTAGTTAATTCAAAAACTATAGCGGGATTTATGATTTTTAAATGGAGATAAAACTAGAATTTTGGTTGGAATCATGATTGAATGATTGATTAATAAAGAGATTATAATTATTCAAATTTTGAAATTATTATGTTGCACTATATGTCATGTTGTAAAATAAATTACCTAAAATAAATCCAATTAAATCACTTGATTTTTTAAACAATTAATACAATTTAATTTGAATTGATCGTAGTTTATCATCAAATAGAACAAATTATGTCTTGATTCAAGCCGTCAAGAATTAGTCAAATATGCAATGTACTTAATATAATTGTATTATGTGATATGTATCATGCTATATGATCAATTACCTAAAATAAATTCAATTAAGTCACATGATTTTTAAAATAGTGAATACGATTTAATTTGAATAGATCATACTATATGATCAACTAAAATAAATTATGTCTTGATCCATGCAGCCTTAGGAATTAGTTTAATTTACAATGTATGATGGATGACGTTTTCAAAAGATTAAAATAAAAACAAAAATAGGAATTAATCCAATTAGATCAAAAATATAACCCTAGCGTATATATGGGGCAGCTTTTCACGGGTTGGTTTTGTATGAATTAATTAAGTACCTCTTCCCTCATTTTTCCATTTAATTTCAAATTCAAATTTCAAATGACCCCCTCCCCCCCATATTCGTTCTACATCAGTTTGGTATCAGAGCATGGTTGTCCGGGATGCGAACTCGACGGAATCGAGCTCTTTTCCACCCCGGGAGAATGATGCGGACATACGACAGTGGACGATATTTAAAGGAAGTGTCGAAAATCGACGGGCGAGCTCACTCCATTTTATTTTAGTTTATTAATTGTATTTTGATTTAATTTTGTATTTTTTTTTTCTTTTTTATCCTTTTTTTTAAGAGTCTTGTCTTATGTAAGCCCAAGGGCAAATTTGTCTTTTAGTTTCTTTTGAAGCCTATATATAGAGGCCCCTTCTCTTGTATTAGGTATGATGAAATTATAATAAAATTTTGTGTTTGCACTTGTGTTCTTTTGGAAGAACCTTTGGTGACATTCCTATGGGAGAAATCCATAGCTTCCACCAACCGCAAGATGTGTCCGGGCTCATGGCCTGAAGTCTCTTGGTGAAGGGCAACGTAATACCCGTCTGTCTTTGGAAGAGTCCGAGACTCGCGGTTTTCTTTATTTTTATTTATCCTTTTTTTTTTCTAATCGTCATCTCCATCCTCTCTTCAATCCCGCCGGCTTCATCCCCTCCTCCACCCAAACTCGTCGACTTCTTCCCACAACCCTCTCTTCTTCCCCACCGAAATTTCCCATTCCCCTCCTAAGCTTAACCGGCCATCTTCCTCTCCTTCCGCCCTCTAAATTCCCTCCATGAATTTTGAATTTCAAAATTCAAACCTTCCTTAATTACCTTCCTAAAGTAGCTCATATCAATTTGGAAAGTATCTTTATTTGAAATCAATTCTCCTTTTGAATTTCAAATACTTTCCTCATTGATAATCCTTAATTAGGAAGTCTCCCACAATTTCATCTTGTTTTCAAAGCCTTCCTATTTTATACATCTTAATTTGATAATGAATTTGAATTCAAAATTCAAATTAATTTGAATTTGAATTTGTTTCCTAAATTTGGATTTGATTTAAATTAATTAAATTAGGTCCAATTAAATTTTTTATTTGATTTTTTCAGCAAAAAAAAATAATAATAAGTCTAATACCCACAATAGCTTTCAAAAATTTACCTTTCATTTAAGATTCTATAACTATTTTTAAAAATAAATGCAGCCACTCCAAACAGGCTCTAAATCACTATTACAGGAATGTGGCTTTCAATATGTCAAACAGATGAACTTTTTCTCACATCGATTAAACCAAACACCTTTAAACTATATCTGCAGTTCAATGGGGCAGAAGGCATTACCAAAAGGACTTAAAGCGTAGAAAAACTTTGAACAGATAGTTATGCATAAATTTAGCTTATATACCAAGGTTAGGGAACCAAGTTGCATCAGAAAGAATGCAATACAATATATATATATAATCTTACATTGGGGGTTGAGACACTGGTCCAATAATGCAGAAAGTATCATAGAATCTAATCCTCCAGAGAAAAGAACTGCCACTGGAGCCATTTCCTCTTCTCCAAATTTCTTCGTAGAAGTCTGCAACATTGATATCATGTATCGGAAAATTTCATGAACTGAGAATGAGAATCAAATGAAATATGTGTAGGTACAATAATGATGAGAATGCAAGTTATTTGAAAGTACACAATTAAGTTGAACTTGAAATTTGTAACACAGTAATGCATCATTAATGACAGGATTTTGAGGATTTAGTCATCAATAAACAAAATAAGATGCATTCAAGTTTTACAGAAACACTGGATTCTTTAAATGTGACCATGTTGCTAATAATCCACAATCATCCTATCCCACTCTCTAATCATTCCCGCAACCATCCATATTCTAATCCATGTTTTATTAATAAATCGACATTCACTAACTAGCAAAACTATAGTATCCACTATCTCGACTAAGAAGCAACAAGGATAGCATGTTCAAAAATAAAAATTTTCCATTAGCTACTGTAGCAACGAATTTCCATATTGATCCATGGAAGAAGTCTGAGTCAGGAGCCGTCCCTAAAATTTGCATATTACACAGTATCTGGCAAAAAGAACACGTAAGCAGCACACATAAGTGCCTATCACTTGCAATAATAAGACTTCTAAGGATCTTAACCTCAAGTTGTTAAGAAATTCTAACATTATTAATAGAAAGAATTGAAGCAAAGATGGGAAAGAATCAACATTCAAAGATTAACATAATTAAAAGCTCACACCTGAAAGATTGAGTCTATTTTAGTGCGCCTCATCACAGAGCTTCTTAGAGCAGAGAGTAACCTTTGTGCTGGTTCAGAGTGCACTGTACCAAGACATATACATACGGATCAATTAAAAGAAGAATATTTCTAGAAGCAATCAAACTCGTAGCATGCATAGCAAGGCCCATCTTTTGTAGGGACGAAGTAAAATAATGTCTAATCGGCCATGTTCACCTACTTTCAAACTAACTTAACCGTTTGGGTCAATGTTAAAGTAGTAGTTTGTAAATTGCAGAAATTAATAAGGTTACTTGACATAAGAGAGACTTGTATGCCTTTGTGATAGTTTAAAATGTGTGCTATAAAGTCAAATATTTTAAAAATCTAGGGTGCTGCTTTAATTCATAGATATATCTATTGAAATTATATCTTATATTTTCTTACAAATAGTAAAAGAAGTTTGGTTTGATGTCATCTCCCAAATTAAGGTAATATGAATAGCACTAATAAGTCATCCTGAGATAACCAAGATAGCAACCTAATTGGATGTTGGCATCATTTTGTATGCACATAGAATATTTCTCATTTATTAGTTTTGCGATCCGATCGTCTTTAACTAGTTCTTAGTCAGTTGTGAGATTGAATCATGGGTTGCATGTTGTATGTTGCATGTTATTGCACCTCATTTCATGATATGTCACATCGCATCGTAACCTTGAATCAGAATTTCACACACTGCACCGCATTCTTCATGACATAGTTATGCATGCCTCAATCGAAATGTTGAGATCATGAAGGTTTTGCTAGGAAGTCACTAAGAAGTCGTTCACTTTTGAACTTCCCATCTCTCAAGCCAAAAAAAATCAGATCCATCTTCTTTTTTCTCTCTCGAGCAAGCAAGAGGGTCAACGTTCACATTGCAGCTCTTGTGATAGTTCCAGTTCGAAGAAAAGCCCGACTACTCAGGCCTTGGTGAGACATTTTCCTTTTTTAGTCACCCGCATGTGAACACTGGTGGCTCCATCTTCTCAGCAAGTAGCCAAGAGTCATTGTACAGCCAACAAGTAGTTGCTTACAGCAGAGCTAGATCAAGTGAAAAAATAATACGCTGACATGTAGATGCAACAAAGTCAGTTGGTTGAGTTGCAAAAATTGAGGGAATAGTTCAGTGGAAAACAATCAGCATCAACAAAGGAGGAGAAAGATGAGACATATTTTGATTAGACTTTTCTTTTGTTATTATTGGACATTTCATTTCTATGTTTGTATAGTTTATTGTCTGTTTTTTATTATACAATGAACTTTATGTTTATTTTTAAACTGTCTAATAATTGTTCAATGTCATTTTGTGATCAAATATGTTATTACATGCATGTAGCATTAGTGTTTATGTTCAATTTTTTAATGTAAATATGATATGTATATATAGTTTATGCAAAATTTTGTGTAGTAGAAAAGATGTAATGGTGTGCTATTTTTTCTGTTTCTAGTACAAGTTTCTGGCAGATTTTTGCTGAAATATTTGTCGGAAACAAAGATACGACGAACTGGTGCTTTCAACAGACAAATTTCGTCGGAAGTACCGATGAATAAACTGTCGAACATTTCCGCTCGTTAGTTCCCGACGGTTTGTCCCCGGTATTTTCGGTGATGTGTTTCCGACAAAAATTCCTGCGGATAAACTGCCAGGAAGAACAATTCGCAAATGACGAATTTGGCTGCACAATTTCACCAGAAGTTCGTCGTTAAATCAGTCGGAAGTATCTCAAGCAAAAAACTTCTGCCGAAACAATGTTTCCGACGCTCATTTTATTATAGAACAAATTTCGGCAAATAATCCACCGGAAATGTGAAATTTCCGGCAAAATTTCTTGTTTTTCGGCAGAGTTTTCAGGCAGATTTAGGCTGCCAAAAATATTTTTTTTTCTTGTAGCGTATGTTTGTGACCCGTAGAGTAGGCAACCCCTAAACTGGTTGAAACACCTCTCGATATTATTGTGGGAGTGGTTGAACCATGTCTAGTGCTTCTTTATTCTCCCCATCTTATTCTCCTTCCAACTTTTCTGCTCCACCAAAAATCCCACTTCTTCACCCTTTCCCCTCCTTAGAAGTGGCTCCAAAGGTCGCATCTTCTCTTCTTCCCTCAAAACTTCCACCTCTCAATCCTTCCCTCATTGTCCCTATATTAGGATTTCCCCCACTTCCCAGTCTAATCAATGGTGCTCTCACCTCTAATGTTGTCGGTTGGGTGTGAAGCTCTAATAATTTCCTCATCGTCTCCTCCAAGATGACGAATTTCTCATCGATCTTCTCAAGGATGGCTGAAATTTGAGTTTGAAAATCTGAAATCTTTTCTGCAAAATTAAATTTCAATTATCCAATCTCCTCTTCTAACACTTCTACCTTTCTCCCCACCATAGGTACCTAGATCTATGCTCTGATACCAATTTGATAGGAAGTAGATGCAATTTCCTCAAAATCAGCGAAGGACGATAAGAAATTTGGAATGACACGCCAAATCTCTTTTTATTGCAAAATATATGAAAGAAAATAGCAAGATGCAGTTGGATCTTCAATTAGAGAAGAATATCCAGCTCTCCCAACCCTAAGTGCCGACTAGAGCCCTCTCAAAAAAGACTACATCAAACAAAAATTACCTCCCCCAAAATTACAACATAGTTAGCCTTAAATAGGCTCCCCCTAATTCCCTCCCAAATGAGCATCCTTTCCCTAAATAATTCTCTCTTGATTTTGAATCCAAAAAAATTTTTTTCGTACAACGATCCGTCATTATCTACCCGAGCACCCTCGGTGCTGCGTACCCGAGCGCCCCGGTGTTGTGTTCCTGAGGGCACCAGCGTTGAACAATAGAGAACGGAGCAAGGCAGCGGTCTAAATACAACGTCGCAATGGATCAAATCAGAGATTCAAGCATCGCAGCGCTACAAACTAGCATCACGGCACTGCGAGACAGGCTGGACGATTTTCTTTCTCATTTTTTTGAAGGGTTGCGTCCCTTGGGGTTATTTACTTGGTTTTCTCTTGTATTTTAAGTGTGTAGACATTGAGAACAGTGTATGTGAAAAGAAAAGGAAAGAGAGAGTGAGAGAGAAGAGAGATCTGTACTTATTCCTCCCAATTTTTATAGTGAATTTCTTGGTGTGGTGTGGCTCCGTGATTTTTTCCCTAATTTGAATTTTTCCATGTTAAATCCTGATGTCCTTTACTTTCTGCTGGTTTTACTTTCTTGTTTGTTTCTCTGAGATGTTTTACTCTCATCCCAAACAAATTGTAATCAAAATTTTTCTGAACAATTCCCTCTTGATTCCTCCTCCCCTAAATAATTTCCTCCCAATTGTAATTAAAACTTTACTAAACAATTCCCCCTTAATTAATAGCCTTCCAAAATAACTCCATCTTGATTAGGAAACTTCCTAATTCCCTCTCAATCAAATCAGTCGTCTTTCTCTAAATAAAGATTCCTAATTCCCTCCTAATTTTGATCTTCTATGGTAAGTAATTAATCCCCTTTAAGCTCCCCTCTCTCCTTGCCGCCACCCACACTAGTGGGACCCATCCATCACGTTAATGGCCACCTCTCACCATCTCGACTAGTTGCTCCCTTATATAATTTTATTTTCTTCCCCGCCAGACTTCATAGAAAGTTTAGTTCCACAAAAAGAGACCACTTTTTAGCAGATATGATTCCTAATAAAACACTATCAGTTATTTGACTTGGCAATGATGGTGATAAAAACAATGAACATGCATCATTCTACTTAAAAAAGCAGACCACATAACAAGACATAACTACATCATAACTTCTCCAATTTGGATGCAAGCACAAGGATAAGATGAGAGTCCCACAATGACTGCTAGAAATCTATATGATTATCAGCATTGTGTGCTAAAAATTAGCAATGTAAGCTTTATAGTTCATTTAAGAACGCCATAGAAGGAACTGAAACCGGTTGCCCTGTCACTATCCAAACTGATCTGTAAAACAATTATTGTCCAAAAATGAAAAATTCTAGCTAATTTCACCTTATTATACTTGAACTCGTCCATATCATAGCATGTACCTGTTAAAGAACCGACTGGTAATGGAAGTTGACTTGCTTGAATTGGAATGACATGTTCTACCTTGGGATCCACAAGCAATCGATCCCATGAGATGACTCTGGTTAAATGGGGATTCCTCCATCTGTGCTTTTGAACAACACCGAACAGACCTTCCTTCATTAAGTGAGCATTTTCATTTGAGGTTTTGAACTCAATACTGTAAATTCCACAGGGAAGTTCCTCCCAGTAGCCAATTTCATGTGTTGAACCTGTAACTTCATTTGCCATTTCATTGTTAAGTCCATTTATAGAGTTTGAACCTGCAAGTGAAGTACGCTTTCACTATTAACTAGATTTGAACAGATATAATAAATATGGCAAGAAAATTTTATGAAAATTAGTTTCATGTTTTATGTTTATATGAAGAACAATTTGTTAGAAATTATAGTAAATAAGTGTGTTCGAATGTTGGCCGGTGACAAGGAACGAAAGCTCCCGACCACTCAACCTCGCCGCTATTCATTGTTTTATGTTTATACTAGAACCATTTATATTGAGGCAATATCCAACTAAATACCCTTCCTAAATTCTCAAACTCCCGGAAATATATCTACAATGTCTTTACATACATACCATTTTATTTCATGTTATTTACATATCTAACGCCCAAAACTTTAATAGTTCCTTCTTATCACTCACATAAAATTTTAATATCAAATATATGACTCATCTAATTCATTTTTACCACCCATACTATCCTATAAGCTTTAATATTTCATTTCATGCACCCATATTTGCTCTATGGGTGATACGCATGTAATATTACAGTTTTAGATGTTAGATATGTAAATAGCATGAAATAAAGTGGTATGAATGTAAGTCCCCCATAAAAAATTCACATATCCATTAGTAGTTTATGAGGAATATAATACATCATTTATGTATTGGCATGGCTCCGACATATTTTTAGTAATATATGAAAAACTTCCTAAACAAGAACAACAAATTCATGAATTCCCAAAAATTTTGAAAACCTTGACAGTCCTCCCTCATTTATGGTAATATATGAAAAACTTCCTAAACAAGAACAAAAAATTCATGAATTCCCCAAAATTTTGAAAACCTTGACAGTCCTCCCTCAAGCACTTTTCAGCTGTACTTTTTTTGAACTAGGCATATGTAGGAAAAGAAAAATAATGAGCTCATCGTACGCAAATAATGCTTGCATGCTGGTGAAAATACTCATGCGAGTGATGGTGGGCTTCGATATGTTAAATAAACATATATACCAGCATATTTTTCAGTAAATGAAAGCGGTGAAACGGAAGATAGAATAAATCTAGAGTCAGTGCATGTTGGCCAATGGACTAGAAGACTTCGTCTTCCTAATGCATCTCGACCGAACCACATCGTTTTTGACTTTTCCTGATAATTGGAAGATTGGAAAAATGTCAACATGTACAGGCAATGAGAAAAGGTCATTTGTCAAATCACATTCAGGAAAGTTAATATATTCTACAGAGGAACCTGCCAGTAAATGAAAGCCCATGGGCCTTTAATAGTTGAAAGAACATCAGGTATAGATTTCCCAAGTTCTGCATTAGAAGAGCCATTCATGTTGAATTCAAGGCAATCAGAAGAACAACACCTTTCAAGTTCATGGAGAAGAAGTTCCAAGTCATTGCTACCATCAGCGACATGTATACCACCAAATATTTCACCTTCAAATAACAATTCATCGGTCAAAATTGCCAAAAAAAAAAACAATTTCATAAAAAAAAGTAACAGTTAATAAGAAAAATTAATAGTTAATGTGAAATAAAGATAAAGGTATGGATAGCATTTAACCTGCACTTGCTGGTTTCTGCTATTAGCAAACTATGAAAGCTAGCTTGCAGGAGCCTAATTCAACAGATCTTGCATTTTTAAATGCCAATTATGTGATTCTATATTATATTCAAACAATCTAATGCGGAAAACTCTGCATTAAGCCATCAAATCAATTATCAATGAATGATGAACCTCTTTGATCAACTTGAAATTTTCCCAGTAAATACTAATATAGTAATAGTAAGCTAAATAACTATTATTCTTGAAAAAAAAAGCATATACTCTAATTTGTTACATTTTTAACGAACGCTGAAAGCTAATTTGAATGAAAAATGAATAGAGAACAGCATAAATGAAAAATTCAGGGAATAAACCATGGCCCGATGAGATGAGGTGAAAAAAAGGTAAAAGGATGCAAGAAAACACCTTAGACACAACAAAGCCATTAAGTGCCAGTCAAAAATTTTATTGGTAATCATATTGAATATAGTTATTAGCGAAATTGTACTGATTTACCATTATATACAAGAAGATTTCCAGATGCATCCTCTAGAGGCTGTGGAACAGGACTTAAGCCCCGAAGTTGTAACATCGCACCAATGAAATCTAACTGTGCAATAGACTTCATACCATTGACACCTACATACTGTGTGCCAACTGTTTCTAATGCAGAAGAAATCCTACAATTCACCGTTTTTCCAGAACAGAGAAAAGTATCTCGACTTTTATCTACTTGATCATCTGTGACATAAACATAGCTTAAATATTAACATTATCATCAAATAAAATGGTGAAGTAATAAAAACAAAGATACAAAAAAGTTTAAATTATGACCAAAAAAAGTTCCAGCTTTTTCAACCAAATTGCCATGCTCTAACTGAATCAAAACCTTCCTGCTACCCAAGCTATCAGGACCTCGTCTTTGCAAAGCAGCCTTAAGGTTATCTATTGTTACAAGAACTGGCCCATAGTCCTGAAACAAGTAAAATCATCAATGTAGAATTTTGTAAATTTATTCAATAACACAAAATGGTTACGGCGTGATACTAATGTTTCTCAAAATCAATTTGGATTCATGCCGGGTAGGTCGACTATGGAAGCCATACATTTATTAAGAGGTTTGATGGAGAAATATAGAGAAAATAAGGAGGATCTACATATGATATTTATTGATTTAGAAAAAACATATGATAAAGTTCCAAGATAAGTGCTATGGAGAGTTCTTGAAAAGAAAGGAGTCAATAATGCTTATATTCAAATCATTAAAGATATGTATGCATGAGCTATTACTTGTGTTCAAACACAAGGTGGATTGACCAAGTATTTCCCTATTTTGGTTGGGTTACATCAAGGATCAGCCTTAAGCCCATATCTTTTTGCTTTAGTCGTGGATGTTCTCACTAGACATTTGCAAGAAGATGTACCTTGGTGTATGCTTTTTGCTGATGATATTCTTCTTGTTGATAAGACTAGAGAGGGAGTTGAAGGTAAACTTGAATTATGGAGGTCAACCTTAGAGTCTAAAGGTTTTCGCTTGAGTAGATCTAAAACGGAATATATGGAGTGTAATTTTAGTAGTAATAGACCTGGTGAGGGGATTGTGACTTTGGGCGATCAAGTCATTAAAAAGAGTACACGTTTTAGATATCTTGGATCTATTGTTCAGAGTGATGGTGAAATAGATGGGGATATTATCAGCAGAATTCAAGTTGGATGGTTGAAGTGGAGGAATGCATCAGGCTTGTTATGTGATAGAAATGTACCCCTCAAACTTAAGGGAAAATTCTATAAGATGGTAGTGAGGCCTGCAATGCTTTATGGTGCCGAATGTTGGCCATTAAAAGAGAAGCATAATACTAAGTTAAGTGTGGCAGAGATGAGGATGCTCAGGTGGATGAGTGGCTTTACCCTTAGAGATAGGATACGAAATGAGCATATACGTGAAAAGGTTGGAGTAGCTCCAGTAGAAGATAAGATTAGAGAGAGTCGCCTTAGATGGTTTGGTCACATAAAACGGCGGCCTTCCGATGACCCGATTAGGAGAGTAGAGGTATTAGATTTGACTTATGTTAAGAAAGGTAGGGGTAGACCTAAAAAGACTTGGTTAGAAGATATTAGGAATGACCTTTCTTTATTAGATTTAAACGAGAATTTGACTTTTAATAGGACACAATGGAGAAAAAGGATTCATGTAGCCGACCCCACGTAGTGGGATAAAAGCTTGATGTTGTTGTTGTTGTACTCAATAACACAAAATAAGAACACTACATTCAATTTCATGAAAGCTTCACGTTTAAATTTGAAATGGATAAAATACAGGAATGTTTCAGATGAAGGAGATTAACTAAAATGTCTAAATAAAGGAAAGATACCTTTTTGGCTTCTAAAGGCAACTCTTCCTTTGTTTCCCTGCATAGATTGGATCCAATTAAGTGAACTCTGCTGATAATTGCAGCTATTCCGCACATTTCCTAGCTCCAAATTCTCCACCTCAGTGGAAAGAGAGCCAGCTGGTACTCTTGATAGCTATTTCTTCAGAAAAAATGCGGAGGTTGATTGAAGAATAATCTATGTGACAAAATGTACATGGTCAACAGCATCCATGAATGCAGGATAATACAAATAGTCGCAAACCAAGTTAAGCATGCAAAATGCAACTAACGACTCCAATGGAGCTAACATCAAGTAAAAAAAAAACTCTGGCAGAAATAAAAGAAAATCAACACTTTGGTATGTTCGTTAACGAGTATGATTTAAGTAGGTGGCACTCAGTAAATTTTATAATTTCGGATTTAAATTTTGGGAGTGTTCAATCCTGAAAACAGCTTGAATGTAAATATCCTTAGTCCAACTTAAATCCTATAAACTGTCCGGAGGTTTGTTGAGCTTTAAATCATTCAAAACTCTTAAATCCTGCTGTTGCAGAATTTACAAAATGGAGGATTTCCCATTGCACGCGCCTCATAATACGAACAAAAAGAGAAAATGCAGGAAAAAACAAGTCTAATAAGCAATTATAACCTGCTTAAAGCTCTAAAATAGATAGCGGAGAAGATATGGGAAATTCTAAGATGCAAATAGCTCTATGCATAGCAAACCAATACCTTTTTTTTTTAACTAATACCCATTAATCACCCTAGGTATTAGATTTGACTTATGTTAAGAAAGTTAGGGGTAGACCTAAAAAGATTTGGTTATAAAATATTAGGAATGACCTTCTTATTTAAACGAGAATTTGACTTTTAATTGGACAATGGAGAAAAAGTATTCATGTAGCCGACCCCAATTAGTGGGATAAAGGCTTGATGTTGTTGATGTTGTTGTTGTTGTAGTACCCATTAATCACCCAAATACATTTACTCTTATCACCTCGAAAAAAAATCAATTGGCAGGCTTTATGCCTAAAAAATCCATCTTAAATCCCAGATCAAACGAAGCCAATACTTCTTCTTCTATATTTGTTTTGCTTCGACGAAATAAGCTATTACAGTGGAGGGGGAGAGAGAGAGAGTACCGTAGGTAGGAAGATGAGAGGTTGTGGGCATAGGGGTTGCCCAGTCACAGGACTAATTAACAGAAGAAGGCAACGTCGACGAAGATCTATACCACTGTCGGAAGCATCGGATACATCGGTACGGTGGAAGATGACGGTACGCTGGCCCTCCGGCGGCGGATGGCGGAAATGATTATCACTGAGAGAGGGGAAGCGCGCGCAATATAACATGGGTTTGGGTTTCCGGCAAAATTTAGCGCTTATTTGAGATATATTAGAAAAAAAATCAAAATAGTACACAAATTATTTATAAATGATAAATTTAGAATTGTTTGGCTTCTTTGTTTCTTAAAGTAATTTTTTAGTATAAAAATTTAAATTTCCATACTATAAAATTGCTTTAAAAAGCAATAAAAAAGCCGCCCAATGAAGCCTTAATCTCAATTTTTTAAATTATCTCAATTTAGACTCTCAACTATATAAAATTGATTCAAAATAATCTCTTATTTTATAATTATTATATAAAATTAATTCAAATTTACTTTCTCAACTCTAAAAAAATTGATCACAATTTAGTCGAAAATGGATCTTTTTGAATTAATTATGTATAGTTGAAGGACTAAATTAGAGTAACTTTATACTATAGGATTAATATGACTATATAAAAATAGTCAGAGGACTATTTTAGAAGTTAACCTTATTTATTTATTTAAATTAATATATTTTACTATTTTCACCATTAATATAAAACTTAATTTTTAATATAAGCTCTATAAAAAATTATTAAAACTCTTTAAACTATAATGGTTTATTTATGTATAAGTGATGTTGACATTATTATTTTTCAATGTACATTCTACATCTTAAATCATCAAACATACTTTGAGAAAAAAAAAGTTATTATAAGATTTTTTTTATTTAAGACAATTTTAGGGTTTTTTAATTATTAATCTTTGGGGCAATCATAATGTGTGATAGTAGATTAAATTTAATTTCTCATTTTATCAAAAATATTTTTATTATGGACCACATTTATTCTTGAATAAAATCAATAACATACGCGGGTTATGATATGGCGGGCTTAAGGCTCAATGGGTCACACAAAATCTATAAGATGATACAATACATAATTAAAAAAATGACATGTATGAAACTCTTGTCAATAGGGAGAAAACAACATAAATGTCAAGTCATACGTACAATCAAGTTATAGGGATGACATCATGGAATCTCTGAGCTGTATATTTTCAAAATATACATTGAAACAATGATAAAAAAAAAGTGATATAGATTACGTATGAAGACTTTGATTTTATTGGTTCAAAAGGCTTCTTAATGTCACAAGTACGAGAGGTTAATTACCTCTTCCAAGAAATAGAGACATTTCGGTAGATGTTAGCATAAACTCTTATGGATGTGTCTTCGCATTGGCTCTCTTAGCAAAAGAGGAGAGATGATCAACTAATGTACTTCGAGGTTTAGGTTAAGGGGATTGATGACTTGTCTAATCAAGGTCTCTTGCTTTTATCATCCCAAGCAACTATGAGACTTGGTCCTCTTAGCTAGCAACGATAGCTAGCCCAAGTTGACTAAAAAGTTATCATTAGCAACCATGAGTTGCATCATCTAAAATAACATCATAAACCAAATGTAAAAGTTGGTTGGGTGGACACTCTTTGATCTTTTTGCGCTTTAAAGGCTTTTTGTTATATGAAATGTATCCAACAGTGTTAAAAAGCTTACATGCATGTCATTATAGAAAGAAAAAACTTATAATGATTGTAATAAAATAACGCTTGGTGCTTTTCAAGCTAATCTTTTATTCATAAGCCATTTGTTATGTCCTGAATAGCTTATAACTTTTGAGATGTACTTGTTAGATTATATTTAATATGCCATCGCCTTCTTTCAGATATTAAATTAAATTTCTATTTTGCACACACTTATATTGATTTTTTTTTTAAGTCCAATTTATTTTTAAGCTTTTTTTCTAGTTATACACTTAGTGGTCTATTTCTTCTCTTTTGTAAGGGTTATTTTGCATTTTTAATGCAGGTCATCAATAAATTGTTGTGTAACTTTCTATGTAGTCTTCATATTAATATCTCCTATCATCCAACAATATTTATCAGAAATTTTCAAAAATCAAGGCCAAACATTTTGTCAACCAAATTAGGCCAAACAATGCCTATTTTTATAGCTACCAATTCACCACTCTAAATTATGATAATTACATATAATAACTCAAACATTTTAAAATGAATTAATTTTAAAATATGAAAATTTTGGATTGTAGCACTACAATGCTAGCTTGGATAACGCAACGATGCTTTATTCTCTATTCTATAATTATCTATATTTCAGTATGTAGCACAACAACATTGTGATCTGTAGAGTTGTGGCACCATGCACGAAATGAAGTTTTAATATATATATATATATATATCAACCACACCATCCCCTCCCCCATTTCACTTGTATTGTCAGGGAAGTAAGGAGAAGAGGGAAGGGAGAAAGGCTAGAGTGGAGAGAGAGAGAGAGAGAGAGAGAGAGAGGAATAAGAAGTTGCTTTGGGACTTTTTAGTATGTCTCTTCTGTTATGAATATTATTATGGTCATCATAAGTGACCTTTTACTCTACTCATGTTCTTAGTTATTTCAATTTCTATGATTTTTATCTCTTTTGAATATGCTAAAAAATATTATTTCTTGATTTAGCAAGTTTTCGCCATATAATTTGTTATAAATTATAGCTATGATTAATCTAAACAATTTTTATATGCTCATACTGCATTTTCTCAAGTTAAAATTATAGATATTAATTTATGTAGAAATTGAATGGTAATTCAACATGCATAAAATTATGATAAGTAGCTTTCACCGGTTTATATGACATATATAATGACAAATGTATGGATATGCATTTAATAGCATAATATGAACATGATAAATAAATGATTTGGATCATGTATAAATAAGACATGGGAGCTCAATGTACTGAAATGCAACACTGAAAGGTGATCTTATATGAAACATCGAAGGATGAATTGATTGGGATTGATATTAAAATGCAGCACTACAAAAATAAACTATATAAGATACACGAATAAGATATACATGATAAAATATATGCAACATGCATGATATAAGGCATACGACCCATGGTGTGATGAAATTATTAAATGATTCAAGAAATATGATTGATATGCAGCAAGACTGATATGGTATTAATACCAATACATAAAATATGACTGAAGTTGATATATGACACATATTGATAGTTTGGTTAACTTGATATAAAAATGAAAATTTTTTTATGATAGATTACTTTTTATATTGATATGATTTCTCGCATATTGTTTCTATTTTATGTATTGATTTTAGTTGTAAATTTGTTGTGACTTGTTGTACTTTTGTGCTCATTATGTAATTTCTTCTGTGTTTCTAATAAGGGTAAAGAACTAGTAGAGTGAAGTTGATTTGTGCAATAAGTTTTGGTTTTATTTCCATTTTTGGTAGTTCTTCATTTTGTAGTCATGATGTATTTTAGTTATGGGTTGTTTTGGTTAAATGCCATGCCTATTGCATATGTTATTTTTGGGATATGGATCAATGTGTACATATTGTATGAATAACAACTTATTTATGTGTTCCATTATTTATATTATCTATATGAAATTAGTAAGCTATGGTCGATGATTAAGAAGATTAAATAGATACAAATATTTTCAATTTAAATTATGGGGCGCCACACTCCATATCTTAACTACAAACACGTCTAAACCATTTCCAAGGTTTGCATATTCAATATTTTGCAAAGCTTTATTATTCAAGATCACTAACAAGCTCTTGCCCAAAGAGGAAATCCTCTAATTTGGCCAACTCTATCCACTCCACAATAAGCCCACCCTCCATTAGTTTCAACCCTACATATGCTAAGTGATAATATGCCATTTCTACAACAAATACAAGCCAGATGATGAAGCATTCTTTGAACACACATGGGGTAGGCTATAATGGGAACATAATCTAAAAAAGTTGAATAAGGATATGATGTAATTTTAGGCCATTGTTTTAAAGAAGAATGACCATATCTATATATAGTAATTGGATGAGCCATATCATGATAGTGTTGGGCTTGTAAAGTCACCTCAAAACTAGTGAGAAATGTGCTAATGCATTGGATAGAAAGCACAAAAGAAGTCGAGTTGGAAGAATAATAAAGTGCTCATATGTAATTTTTTTTAATAATTGCTAATAAATAAAAATATAAGTAATAAGTTAAATATTATATATTTTTTGGTATTAAGTTAAGCTAAATGTTACTGTGAAATTGCTTTCAAACTTGTTTTAAATTATGTTTTATATGTGATTATCGCATTTAGGCTAGCTCAGAGAGTTGATGAAGAATATTTTATTAAGTTCATTATGCATACTCCTTCTCAATCTTTACTAGTTAGATTTATAAGGAAGAAGGTGGCTCCACAAATTTTATAGGAGAGTACAATAGTCACGCTAAGGAGAAAATAAGAGAAGGAAATGAATAATAACCAATTGTTAGTCAATTCTGTCACTCAAATAAATGAGGAGGATAGCCAAGAGGTTATTGATATTTATTTTATCATTCATTCAAGGACTTAAGGTGATGTAATGTAGAAGTAAAGAGATGTTAACCCATCTTTTGCCATTGTAAGTATAAATACTATGATGTAAGAGGTAAGTAAAATTAACCCATTTATTGTTTTTACACATAGGGATCACTACAGGAAAAACAGCAATTTAATTGCGACGGAATATTATTTGTAAATTTGCGACAAATTTTTTCCAACACAAATATTTTCCGATGCGACTTTTAGTGTCGGAATGCATTCCGCTGCAAATCCACCCCATATTCGCTTGTTTTGCGGTGAATTTGTCCACCAAAATAGGCCTACTTTCCTATAGTGGATGATGTAAAGTTAAGAGATAACTAAAGAAAAAAAAAAGAGTAAGAAATTTTTAATTAAAGATTTTAAAGATACATCATATAAGAGACACAATCCAATGGATCCATGCATCATTGAGCTTCTTCATGTGACTGATGAAGAAAAATAACTCCAAAGAAAGGGAGATATGAGTGGAGGTGCACATCATGATTTCTTTTGTTAAATACACATTGCATGGCTAAATAGTAAGTTAATTAATAAATTAATTAGTTTGTTAATTCAATAAGTTTTAATTGTGTAATTAATTATATTAACAACTATATATTTTTTATATTTTTTAGCACATAAATACTTTGTGTTGTCTAATAAGGGAATGAATATGAATCTATCAAAAAACCTATTCATTGGGCATTATCCTCATTTATAAATTACTCAATTAGTATTACATATTAACATTCTTTGCATATAATAAAGATGAATGACAGTTCAAGTGGCCTGGATATGTCATGATATATGCTATTAGAAATGAATGAAGTGAAGTTCCTAAGATCTTGGGTGGATTTAGATCTCACATATTATACAATAAATTTTGTTCTAATTAATTGAATAATATATGAGATCTCATTGCATACAATGAGCATGATGTTGAACAATTTTCATTGTAGCATAAATATTTGTATTAGTAGTGAATTCCTTTTATTAGTATTTCCCATCATTATTTGAGTTATCATTGTTATTTAATTGTAAACATGAATTATTATCATCAATTTCTTTGGAAGCGGAGGACACTCAACACACATATGAGATTCCCAAGAGACTACATAATGTGTGTGATATAACACATCATCTGCCTAACTTCAAAATATAACATTCTAGAAGTTATATAATATCATATACTATTCTATAAAAATCATAATGTGTGAATTTATTTTATAACAATATAGATCCATAGCTTTATATAAAAATATTCAATTATGGAATTAAGTGCATGACAAATGATTCTCATTTAGTTTTATAAATGATGCACATTTAATATTTTGTCTATTAACTTAGTTCATTAAATGTTAACATTCATTTTAACCATATTATAGCTTTTGTGATTACAATATTATTTATAAATCTTATAATGAGCTATGTTGTACCTATTATGAATACACTTTGTTATATAAATTTTATAATATAGTTTGTTATTTCTTATGGTGAATGAAATCTATTGTATCAAATCTTACAATATATTATTTTTGTTGATGACAGAATGGACTCTGATATATCAACATTGCAGTTTGTTATCTTTTTATTTATGATGATTTCAATTTACTATTTTAGTTTTATAATCTATTATGTTATTGCGATTGAACTTTGTTGCATCATGTTTTTAATTCATTTTTATTGTATATTATTAAAACCATGTTAGAACAAGGTTCAACTCTTGTTTGAACTATGATTGATTATTGCTTGAATCATATTTGAATGATGTTCAAACCTTCATTAAATTGTGTTTGCATAATATTCAAATATTCTTCCAACACTGTTCCAATCTTCTTTGATTCATGAACCTTGTTCAAACAATTCATACTCTTAAGCTTTGTTGGAACACACTTTTGAACCTTGTTTGATATGTGTCTAAGTCTTATATCAAATGTTATTCAAATATATCATAATTTGATACTTGTTTGAAATTTATTTGAAGTTTAGTTCATAACTTATTAGAAGCTTGTTTAAAAATATATTTAAACTAATAAACTTCTTTTTTTAATGATCATAAGCCAACATATACGTGAAAAAATATTGGAGTAGCTCCATTGGCATATAAGATTATAGAGAGTTTCCTTAGATGGTTTGATCACATGAATCGAGGACCTTCCGATGACCAAATTAGTTGAGTAGATATATTAAATTTGATTTATGTTAAGAAAGGTAGAGGTAACCGTAAAAAGATTTGGTTAGAAAATATTAGAAATGATATTTCTTTATTATATTTAAATGAAAAATTAACTCCTAACATAACACAATAGAGGAAAAAAATATCATGTACCCGACCCCATGTTGTAGGATAAATGTTCGATGTTGTCGTTGTTGTAGATCATAAATCAGTAGCTCATGAATACAATAAGAATAATTTTATGTGAAGTAAATTTTTAGATATATTTTATTAAGAACATAAGCATGAAGTATATATCTATAATTAATGTTTCGTTTGTGACAACTTTCATACTACTTTTTAAAGCTTCTTACTAGCACAACTTTTTTTTAGAAATAAAAATTTTTGCAAAAAAAATTATTTTAGAAAATAGTAAGAAACCTATCTCAAATTAGAGTTGTCAAAATTTGACCCGACCCCAACACCCCATTTTCCATACTGGTCGGAGTCGGGTTCGAGTTTTCGATCCGTTTGCAAAACCTGATCGGGTTGGGTTGGACCCAAAAATCTGAAATCAACCCGGTTTGACTTGTGAAAATGGTTGTTGTATCTTGTGCGTGAGCATGACCTCGTCTGGATGTATGGTCGCACGACTTGTTAACGTCGACCCTGCACCCATAGGCAGAACTGACACCTCCTCAGCCCGTGATGGCCTCACCTGCCACCGTGCCCCCTCATCTGTTGTCGCACTCGCCCGTTTTTGAATCAAATGGGTCTGCGAGTCATGTCGCGTCAACCTGGTTAGCCACGCAAGTCGGGTCCGGGTTGAAATACTTGACCCATTTGAAAAAAAAAATAGGTTGGGTTAACTCGTTTAGACCCAGGTCAACTCATGTTCAACTTTGACAAAAACAGGTCATGTTCAAGTTGACCCGTTTAGACCCAGGTCAACTCAGGTTTAACTCTTGTTTGAACTATGATTGATCATTGTTTGAACTTTGTTTGAATCATATTTGAATGATGTTCAAACCTTCATTAAATTATGTTTGAATAATATTTGAATATTCGTCCAACAATGTTCAAATCTTATTCGATTCATCTTTGAACCTTGTTCAAATAATTCATACTCTTAAACTTTGTTGGAACACTCTTTTGAGACTTGTTCTATATGTGTGTAAGTCTTCTATCAAATGTTATTCAAAAATATTAGAATTGTATATTTGTTTGAAATTTATTTGAAATTTAGTTCACAACTTATTAGAAGCTTGCTTGAAATATATTTAAACTGCCGATTTTTTTTTTAATGATCTTAAACCAACCAGGGGCGGAACCGGCCATAATTTTTAGGGGGGACAAACTTATAAGTAACCGTTCGCATATATGTCGGGGGTTCGAGGTGACAACGCCCCCTGGTGGGGTTCGATCTGCTTGTTCAGTTTGCGTGGTCAAGGGGCAGAGCCCTTGTAGGGGTTTCCAAGGGCAGCACCATCTGGAACAAATTTTGATTTACTATTTCTCTATGTATTTGGTTCATCATTCCCTAACAATAACATATATATACAATGTATTTAATTATATTGGAGGCAATTGGTTAAATGCTATATTATTTTAATATTTTTAGGAGTGGGGGGGGGACAATTGTCTAAAAACCTTATAATAAAGTCTAAATATTATCTAAGTAAAAGTATAATGAAAAAAAAGGGGAGGGGTGGGGGGGCAATTCCCCCTTAGCTACAAAAGCGTTCCGCCCCTGAAAACAACATATACGTGAAAAGATTGGAGTAGCTCCAGTATATATCTACAATTAATGTTTTGTTTTTGACCTTTCCTACTCATTTCTAAAACAGTTTTTTAACAAAATTTTTTTATTTAAAAAAATTTTGTGCTAAAATATTAATTTAAAAAATAATAAAAAAACAATCACAAATGAAACCTAACACTATTGTGGGATGTAGGGTAATTCTTTTTTTACGTTAGCATAATTAAAAATAAACCAAAATGTGCGATGGCCAATGACACGGCTACACTAAACTGTTTTAGGCTCCGGGGTTTTGCAGCATGCCCTTTCCCGATATAAAATTCGTCCGAACAACCGTGCGTTGTAAAAACCCTAGCCCAACCGTGCGTTGTAAAAACCCTAGCCCTAAAGTCCTAAGTTAATCGAGCTGTTGATCGCAATGGCAGAAGCTGAGAAAGTTAGCGGGAAGATAAAGGAATTTCTCAACTCTCAGGTCAATAACGAGGAAAATTGGGCTGTGAACATGGTAAATATCTCCACCCGCCTCCTTGTATTTCCGTTAGGGGAGTGCAATATTCATGATGCGTGCCTAGTGAATGATGGTACCATTCCGTTTGATGTTTCTTTTGATTCCTTTGATGATGTTGATTTTGGAAGGTCGTTGTACATTTGGTTTGCCTGTCTCGGAATTGCCTCGTGTGCTATGATTAACTAATTTTGTAATAAATGCAGCATAGTTTTGTTTGTTGATCGTTTTCTTCGTTCCTGGTATATTATGACCCTTTCCTGCAGCAATTTTTTTCTTTATTTTGCATTCGTGTGGATTGTGTTTTTATTGCCTTTGTCATCACTCTTACAGCTATATATAACATCGTTTCTTTCATGTTATTATTGATCTTTGAGTTGAAGGTGCAACTGTTATTGCTGTAAGTAGAGAACTTTTGAATGTTAAAAAAAAAAGCAGAGAGAACTTATGGAAAGTTTTAACATGGGTGTTGTGTTCGATCTAGTTATGCGAATTTTCAAGTTATGCTTTCACCGTTTTAATTATTCTTCGCAAACTGCTAAAGGCAAGGGTAAGTCATACCTGGGTTGTCTTTGCAAGCCTATCTGATTTCTTAGTCATATGCATGTTCTCTTAGAAGTTCATTTTGAGCCAAAGGTACCCCTATGATTTCTTGGCAAGCCCCTTTTTATTTGTTTGTCTTTATTAAGTAAATTATTAATGGTTTAAATTACAATTTATTATTTAGGGCTAATTTTATATTTTCAATTTTTGAAGTGTTAGTTTTGTCAATTTTAATAAAATGTATTTTTATAAATAGCGCCCATAGTGTTGTAATGAAGTTTGCATGGATGGTGAAATAAAAAAATGGTTCCATTTTGGCTTTCTCTGTTGGGATTGATATTTCCCTTATATTGTTTTCCCCTTCTTTTTTATCTCTGCTTTACATCTCCCCTATTTTGGCTCTTTATTTGTCTAATTTTTCAATCTTTTTTTTTTCTCATGATCCATCTAGTTCTTCCTCAACATTAGATTCTCTCATGCTTAAAGATCAAACATAAAAAAATACATTATAATCTATTTTCATTTCATGCTTTTCGTTAATTTAGTATTAGAGTAAAAAAAAAAACTTATCATTCTTTAACTCTTATTAATTCATCTTTTCCCATTGATTCACATCATAACTATGCCTCATTTCTATCCTTGCAATTGCATCAATGGCTCTCCATTATTAGCCTCATCATTATTAAGAAGTGCATTGATTAGGTGCTCTGGCTAAATATTTAACTCGATAACCTCCCCGCCATATTCTACGTAAAAGATGTTCTCGTTTTCTAGCAAATCAATTATCATATTGTAGTTCCTTATTTGCTTTCTCTTGCACATGATCCCCATTTCCCACATCCATTAGCTGTCGAACAACATTGATGCCCTCAAATCAAATATCACTTGCTCGCCCACTTCTTGAGTACCTGTTGCAATTGAACTCCATCTGCAACAAACATTTGCAAACTCATGTCTTTTGCAATCCCTGACTCACTTACAAATTTGTGTACATATTTGCCAGGAAAAATCAGAACTACTTACAAATTCCTATCCTGCTCATCTTCTAACCAATTTTATGGTTTGCTTTGTTCACTTTACTCACATGCATGAGTGCTTCTAGTTACTCGTTTGAAATTTGCATATATTATAGTCCACAAACCACACAATTTTCCTTTCTTTCACAATTGTGTTGCTAGCGCATTAGCATACATGCTTCTCGCTCACCAGTGTCTGTATTTTGCATATGTGCCGATAACTCGCCGCATTGCCCATTGCATCTACTTAACAATCCAATCTCTTTTAACCGCGTCTTTTTCCGCACTTCATCGGCATCAATTGCTTACCACTATTGTCAAACTACGTGCTATCCCACCACCCGCAAATTGCTAAAGTAATTTGCAAATTGTACTATCTTTTTAAAGTATAACTAATTTTCCTATCATAATTTGCTTATCACTATTGCCGAACTACGTGGAATTCCACGATTTACAAATTGCTAGTGTAATTCACAAATTACAATCTCTTATTTATAAGCTGCACTCATCTACCTACCATATTTTGCCTATTGTTAGCCACCAGTTTACTTAATTGGTACCTTAATCAAGTTGGATTAGTTTAGAAGTGTGTTCGAAGCCATAAATTTTTTAAGGAGTTATTTTTTTATGTTTTCATGGAAAGAAGAAAATACTTATATCATTATTGGTATATTATTGATGATGGAGATGTTAGTTGACTTAGTTCTTCTCTGTCTCTTCCTTCTTGAGATGGATTTTTCATTCATCATATTTTTTTTGGGGCAGCCTTCACATTAGTCTTTATTTTTTGGGATAGATATGACTAAATCCACAACATAGTTGACCTCCAATTCTTCCATCAATAATCCTTCAACTCTTATGGGTAAATTCTTTGCAACTCATGGAGATGCTATATTATAAATTTATCTTTGTTCTAAGTTTGCAATCTTTGTTTTCACTTTTAAGCTAGTTATTAATGACTTAAAATGGAATTCATTATTTAGGACTAGTTTAATAGTTTTATATTTATTTAGTGACAATTTATTAATTTCAGTAAGGCCCGTCTCTATAAATTTCCAATGTTTTGTAATTGATTAAGATGCAAGATAAAATAAGGAAAGGTTTTCTTCCCCTCCAGGGTTGATTCTTGTGTCTAGGATTGCTCATGCTTTCATCATCTATGTGTCATTCCTCCCTTCGAGGCATTTATTGACTAATTTCTTAATCATCTTCTTCTATTTATCTTCCCGGTTCTTCCTCTCCATTTGTCATATGTATAACTCATATCCATGCCATTGTAGCAAGGAGACATGCCCCTACGATAGGATAGTTAAAGTCATGATAGTATCATCTAAGGGACATGGTAAAGTTCACTATGCTTTGGAGTTGCCGCACCATCACTGGAATAAAGGGAAAAAATTGAGTGGGTTTGGATATTTTTAACATTGCAAAGTGATAGGTTTTGGTTTGCTCACTAGGATGGTTGGAGCCAAATGCCATCATCTTCTTATATAAAAAAAAAAAAGATAGAGTTGTCTTTGCTTTAGCATGGAGAGTCGGACAAGTTCCAGCATACTCATGATATTGTTTTAAATCATACGCCATCTTTTCCACACGAATTGAGGGAGTTGGGTGGGCTTCGATGTACTCATGGAGTAGTGTAAACTTTGCTATTCCTTGTGAGTTCGTTTCTATTAGACACATTTTTGAAATGGGGGTGAAGATGGTTTGGGCACCATGTAGAATTGAACATGGATGATGGTGAAAATAACTCATCGCATTAGTTTTATATGTGTTGCAAGCTCCATGTACACTAACGAAGGCGAAAGTAGGCAGAGTTATATATATATAACTCATGAGATGGATCAAAATTTGGACATCATCATCTTCATACAAAGTGAAGAATCGAACATGGATGATCCCCTCATTAAGATGATGGTTAGTTACTTAGTTTCATAATGTTGAGATTGTGAAATGCCTTTCGAAAGAAAATCAACATTTAAATTTTTTAATTTCCTTGCCAAATTTACCATAAAAATTGGTCTACAAGACTGATGTGGCCTGTATGAACTAGACACTCAGATTTATTTTGAACGACCTAACACATTAGTGTAATTCCCATGTGCCCAATGGAAGAAAAGTCTTCAAATGATAGTTTTGTTGAGATTTTATGAAATTTAATCTATGTTTTGGAGAGCTACGATCAAACAGTCTATGTTGTTCTAGGGAGTTTTTCCCTCTCTTGTTACTTATGATGAGGGCAATTACATTTAGATGATGTTGTTAGGCCGGCCCCTCCTGGGCCGGTTGAACCGGTCCCTAATGGACCGGTTCTCACTTATAGCAGGCGGCCCAAACCAAGTGGAGGGCCCCACTAAGGCTTTAATTAGTGGCGGTTTAGGGATTTTTGGAATTTCCTTTGGCTTTAATTAGTCTTGTCTTGCTAGGGTTAGGGTTATCTTGAATTTGAATGAGATTTGAGATCTAGGGTTTGCTTGTGTTGGGCTCTCGGCATTGCCGGAGATTAGGAGAGTCATTCTTCCTCTCGAATTGAAGAACATCGTATCTTTTCCTGTTTTCTTGCATCTACTGTTGAAATAAAATATTTTGAAGTGATTTCTCCCTAGATTTCTCTAAATTTTCTCTGTTTTAGCGACTGCTCTTGCTGTTTTCCTGCTGTAAACAGCAGTTTTCTTCGTGTTTTACTTCAGATTTGGCTAGAAAATACTTGAAATCAAGTATTTCCTATCAGATGTTTCTGCATTGTAGGCAGTTTTAATCTAGCTGAAGGTTTGAGTGAGATTTTGCTATTAGCATCCATCGACTTCGTAGCAAAGATGGCCTTTATTAGACTTGTGGCCTTTGTGGGCGCTTTCAATCTTCCACAAGAAAATTAAAAAACCTTATGGCTGATGCTAAAGATTAAGATTCTCATTAGACATTTTTATGAGATACCAATAATATATTGCTTTTGATCAAATTTTTTTATCGTTTAAGCTTTTAAAATGGGTTTGAAAAGAATTTCTTATTTAAATAACGTTTTAAAGGAATTAGATGGTGATGCATTTATCTTCATTATGTTGATCAATGAATTAGTTGTCTGGACTTCTTGATGGAATTGTTTGGAATGAATAGAATGAATCCCCTATAATATGGTCCTAGAAAGGGACTGAAAAAGTGTCACATTTATTGACCTGTGAATCCTAAGCATGATGCAAAATTTTCTATTGTGTTACTCGTCAGAAATTTTAAGAAAAAATAAATCATGTCCATCTTGAGCGTGATGAGAATTTCTTGAGAGAGTATATAAAATGTAGACAAATTTCAATTCTGAAGCTTCATATTTGACCCAAGTATTGTTGCCTCCCAAGTTCATATGTGAGGTGCTATTCCTTTAAAAAGGTTTAATTTTAGGGTCATTTTGAGTATGCCTTTCATTAGGTGATACACATAATTGATAAGTTGACCCATTGTTAGGAAGTACCTCTAATTTGAGAATAGTTGCTTTTCATTATTAATTGAGCCCCCCCTTTACTTTTAAAGTCTTTAAAGTTTTCGAAGCTCTTTATTCCCATTAAGAGGCGGAAAGTTTCTCAATGAGGCTACCTTAGAATCATTGGATGCCCATAGTTAATAGAGGGGGTTGGCACGGTGCTTCACCCTTTTTGGTATTGGGATTTGGGTCCGCCCTTACCTTAAATTTGTCTGTACTTTGTTTAAGACATGCCTAGGAGTTATAGAAAGTTTTTCATCCATAACAACACTTCAATGGTTAAGTAGATGTCCATGATTCTTCAAGAATGATGTTTTTCAAAGCCTAGAGGGGGGCATCATTATAACATGGGAAAGGAATCTCTTAGTAATGTTGGAAACTCCTAGTAAAGGGGAAGGAACCTCTTAGTAATGTTTGAAAACTATTTTGTATAATATTACACGTGGTAAGTTTGTACTATGGCATCTTATTGCAATCTTCTATTGGGTGAGCCTATTGGAAGCTCTCCAACATAAAACTTTAATTATTGTGTGTTGGACATCTTATTTTTTTGATAGTCTTTCAGTAATTTTTTGCCTTTATGGGGTGTCTATTATTCTTTTGTTGGAGCATTGTTTTATTGGAGAAGAGATTGAGAATTAGAGTAGAATGCAAATGAAAGTTATGAGAACTCAAATTTTATTTATAGACGAGGGTCATAGGTAGTTAGGATTAACTATAGTAGGTTCATTATAGAGGCTGATTTACAAAGGTGTCACCACATCGACACAAAAATCTTGATGACATTATCTAGCGAATGAGGACTTCGTTGAGAAATTATCCCTTATTTGTTTAGGTTTTAATGCACATATTTACTGTATTGGAGGAGTGTTATGTTGACCCTTAAAGATGTATTCTATGTAGTGAAGTTTGATGATCATCGTACATAATGAAAAAAAAAAAAAAGGATTAAGCACCACATCAACCTCATATACAACGCATACATCGGAATGCATGATATGATAATTGTGATGCTATGCTGAATAGACACAGACGTTTCACGACAATGGATACAATTTTTTTTTATATGTTGGAGATGAGGAAGGGCAAGCAAATTATTTCTACATCTGGACCAACTAGTTCGTGTGCTTAGTTACATTCGTTCAGTTGTGCACCGATAATGAATTTATTATAATGCCATTTTTTTTGGGCTAAGCTGATGGATGCAGCTATAAGCTGTAGAAATTTACTATTGAAAATGTTAAATTATTATTATTATTATTTTAAATATCAAATTTCATATTTTGTTCCTAATATTTTGGAAATTGCAAGCAACTTTCCTAGTTGTTCCACTATCATAACTTCATGCCTTTCTTGACTTTGCCCGAGGTTTCAAAGAAAGTTTCTTGATGCCCATTAGGAATTAGTTAATCTTACCATGACACAGCAGTTTGAACGAGATTGAGAAAAGAAAAACAGTCGCCGAAATCATTTAGGTTTTGTTTGGGACTGCTTTGTTACTGCTTCTTAAAACAGCTTTCAAATATAAAAATTTTAACTTTTGTACTAGAAAGTTTTTTTAAGAATCTGGATGAAAGCCGTCCCAAACGGAACCTTAATGGGCTCTCGTAATACGGTTTGCTGTGGTTTGGGTGTGCTATCATTTTGGTATGCGGTATTTGTTAATGCGTGACTAATTTTGAACTTTGTGTCAATTAAGCCACTTATTGCACTGATTGCATTCATTTACTTGCTAATAATTTTATGCTTGAATAATTACTTCATGAGAACTGAATTTTCTTTCTAACTGCTACAGAAAATTCTTCGAGCTGCTGGACTATTTTTTGGCTCAATATTCTTCATGCGCAATTTTGGGGATCTCATGGCAATATGAAGTGGTTGTCATATGATATGATGTCACTGCTGTCACTGCTTAATAGACTGTAAATGATTTCCTCCTATTCTACATTACTATTTTATGCGGTCGAATATTTATATATATCTGCTGCTGTGTCATGCAAAACTTGATGTTATCATTACTCTTTAGTTGATTGGTAACTGTTTTTCATTCTGCTTGAAAATTTTGACTTTATATTCATCTTCGTGTTTGTAGTTGGACAAATGTGTTGGTCATTTTTTTATTTGGAGAAAAATGATTTAAAATTTTATTTCAAATCTAGTTATTCATAATATGCTTATATCTCAGTTCAACTATATCTCGATCAAAACACTTAAGGAATATTGTTCTTAGATCCTCCATATACTTCCAGTTAATAGCATTGCTAATTTTGTCCCTTTGTTTGAGATTTTTTTTCTCATAGTGGAATAATAAAGTTGTGACTAGAAAGTTGAATCGGATGAAAGCTTCGTTTCGGGCGGCTTTCTTACTGCATCTTAAAACAACTTTTTAGTACAAAAATTTTAATTTTTGTACTAAAAATTTGCTTTAAGAAGCAGTAAGAAAGCCCGTCCCAAACGAGGCCAAAGTAGTTTAATTTGATTTTGGCAACAACGGATTAGTTTTTTTTTTTTTTTTGAAGGTTTGAATAATGTTATAGACATATGATGATCAAAGAGATTTTGTAATAATTCATATGCTTTATGTTGAATTTGAGCTAGATGGATAAAGAACATGTGGCTTTCTTTTATTTTCAGAGCTTTGGGTGAGAGAAGTTTCTATTTATGGTTAAATATCCCCAACAACTACAATAATGCAGGAAAGTACCTGCAAATTAAATTTATTATTTATTGCAATCTTTGTATTATAATAACTGACATGTTATAATCATAAAACTTCATTATTATTATTATTATTATTTTGACATAGAAGTCTCTATATTCTAATATAAATAATATATGAGATATGCATCTGTTCATGGTATAAAGAACTTCTCTTCATCATCAAGAATATACTTTGGCATAGTTTTAGGCCATCTGCTGTGGATGCTGCTTTTATAATAATTTTATTTTCAGAATCAAACTGAATGAGGATAAAAATAATAATAATAATAATTTTGTAAAACTTAATTTCCAAGAAGCTACCAAATGAACCCTATTGGTCAATCATGAAAAAATACAAAAAAAAAAATCTGAAATATGGTAGCATTATTGAAGGCCGGTCAAGCATATGTGCTCATTGAGCTGATCTTTTAAAACAAGAAGGCATTGCGAAGGGAAGTTAAAAGGAAACGCCTATTTTTAATGATAATATTAATAAATCATCTTCCTTAAGGTATGTTATTATTTTTTCTTGTGAAATAAAAGACTAAGTAATTCACTAACATTCATCCTTTTATGAGTTAAAACTTAAATGTTCCATTTGTTTATTGTGAAATTTGATCTTAAATTATTTTTTCTAAAATATGTTTTTAGTACAAACATTTTTATTTCAAGAAATTTTTTTTGCTAAAAAACTGTTTTAAAAAATAGTAAAAAAATATTCCAAATAAAGCCTCAAGCTTCTTTTGGGACGGTTTTCTTATTATTTTCTAAAGCGTTTATTTAATATAAAAAATCTTTAAACTAAAAAAATTTATACTAAAAAATTGCTTCAAAAATAGTAAGAATGTTATCCTAAATGAAGTCTTAGGCTTCACTAGGGACGGTTTTTTTTAATGATTCTTAAAACTATTTTCTAGTACAAAAACTTTTGTACTAGAAAATTATTTTAAGAAGCATGAAGAAAGACATCATCTACTTCACCTTCAAATTATCATCATTTCCTTACTTAAAAAGGTATTTTATAAGAAAAAAAAATTCATTACAATATATGATAGATAGAATAACTTAGTAAATATTCACAGATTTTCGGTGATTTCTTCGGGACGATGATGAATCATTTCCATCCCCTTATCTGTTTTGACTTTTCATCCTCTTGCCATAATCTGTTTAATAGGTGACATTTTTTACATTCTTAGTCCAATTTTGTAATTGATGCGATAATATTAATAAATCATCTTCCTTAAGGTATGTTATTATTTTTTCTTGTGAAATAAAAGACTAAGTAATTCACTAACATTCATCCTTTTATGAGTTAAAACTTAAATGTTCCATTTGTTTATTGTGAAATTTGATCTTAAAAAATATATTATATATATATATATATATATCAAATATGATTCTTCTGAATGAGGGATAGACGATTGCTACCTATTGATCGATCTGATTTAATTTCTTCTTAGCTTATATCTTGTTAGATTTAGGCATCATATGGGTTAATTTTCTAATTATTTTTCTAAAATATTTTTTTAGTACAAACATTTTTATTTCAAGAAATTTTTTTTGCTAAAAAACTGTTTTAAAAAATAGTAAAAAAATATTCCAAATAAAGCCTCAAGCTTCTTTTGGGACGGTTTTCTTCTTATTTTCTAAAGCGTTTATTTAGTATAAAAAAATCTTTAAACTAAAAAAATTTATACTAAAAAATTGCTTCAAAAAGTAGTAAGAATGTAATCCTAAATGAAGTCTTAGGCTTCATTAGGGACGGCTTTTTTTAATGCTTCTTCAAAAAATTCAATACAAAATTTTTTGTACTAGAAAACTATTTTAAAAACATGAAGAAATACATCCCAAACAAAGTCTAAATTCATCTTTTAGCCGGTCTTATAATTTTTTCACATTGATGCAGTGTCTTATCTTAGAATTATATTTCAATGATTAATGATATTTCATTTTTAATTAAGAAAATTCAAGGCATTTTTAAAAACGAACAAAATTTTGCCCCAATCATCTACTTCACCTTCAAATTATCATCATTTCCTTACTTAAAAAGGTATTTTATAAGGGGAAAAAAAATTCATTACAATATATGATAGATAGAATAACTTAGTAAATAATAACAAATTAGGGGGGGTGTCTATATTTGACACGACCTGAAAGCCCGACTAGAACCCGACCCGAAAATTTCGGGTTAGGGTCAACCCGACCCGAAACAGGTCGGGCTTGGGTTCAACATTTCGACCCGTTTCAAAAATCGGGTCAGGTTCGGGTTAAATCTTTGATCCGAAAACCTGATTTTGACCCAACAATTCGAGATTGAGCCGATGTTGACCCGTTTTCGACCCGAAAAAGAGGAGATAGACTCATTTTTTACCCGAAAAAGAGGAAATAAACCCGTTTTGACCCGAAAACTAGCAATTTTTTGTTGGAAACGGGTCGTGTCGGGTTGACCCGGACCCAAGCAGGTCGGGTTTGGGTTAGGAAAACTAACCCGTTTTCAAAAAACAGGTCGGGTTCGGGTTGACCCGAATAGTGCCGGGCCAGTTTCGAGTTCAACACGAACCCGACATGTGACCCGAAATTGACACCCCTTACTAAATATTCACAGATTTTCGGTGATTTCTTCGGGAATATGATGAATCGTTTCCATCCCCTTGTCTGTTGTGGCTTTTCATCCTCTGCTTCCCTTCGATGGCCTTTGGGCAACTTGAGAAGGTCGTGTGTGGCTGTCTGCCTGTCTTGCCATAATCCGTTCAATAGGTGACATTTTTTACATTCTTAGTCCAATTTTGTAATTAATGTACTACATTTTTTTTATTTTGGGTGTATGATTAAGCACCGCTATTTTTGATAGCGGTGTCAAAATAGATTTTTGGGTTGGATTTGGATTAAATTTAAAATTGACTCGCTCTTAACATGTCCGATCTAAACGGGACTTGTTTGTCCAAACGGGTTAAATATCTTGATCTCAATCTAACCCGATATCAATCTGATCGACTCGACCTGACTCGCTAACCTGCAAGGGGGCGAGGTCGTGAGGGCAAGCGCGAGCAGCGAGTACGATGGGCGAGGAGAGATCTGACAAAGCAAGGGAGGGTCAAACAGGTTGTTATCGGATTTGTGGGTCAAGTCGAAGCATACCTGATATATCAATTAGTTCTTTTATTTATATCTTTATAATTCTGGCTTTTATATTAAAATAAATTACTTTACGATATTATAATAAAATTTTATCATAATAAATTCAAATTTTTAAAATTATTTTAAGATGAATAAAATATAAGTTGAAAGAATTTTTTCTGCTATAAGTATTATAAAAAATAGACCACGAAATAAAATTTAAAATCATTAAATAAAAATATTTTGATCACTTACATTGGAAAACAATTGAATGTATTGAATCATTTAATGCTTTCTGAATATGAAAAGCAGGCCTTATGAATTCTAAGTTTTTTTATCATCTTAGATTTTATCTTTCTAAAATAATAAGTTTATATTAAATTTTCTTAAAACTGTTAATATAGGTCTGAAGAAAAAATGAAAATAATTTATCAAATATTTGAAAAAAAAAAATTATTTTTCACCTCCAATAAAAAATTTCCAACTGTAATTATTCAATTTATTATGGGCTGCACCCTCATTTTAAAAAAAAAAAACCATAGTTAATATTCCATTTTTAAATAAAATAGTTTATTAATGATCGAAATATCTCATCTATGCATAAAATATGCTATATATAAAAATCATTTGTAATAATTA